GAAAAAGTCTAATAACAGTTAGAACCAATATCAAAACTCAAGTTAAACAATTTAGCGTCACACAAGTTAATGAAAAAAAGCTAATTTATGACTCAATATGTGAAGAAGAAAATTGTTACGTTATTCCATATCAAATATGGAAACTCAATCATAAAAATATTGAGTATTTGGTTGTAAGTATAAGAAAAAAAACTTTATTCCTTTAAGCTAACTTTTAAAAACCAGTAGCAACAAACATAAAGCATTCCCTTGATAAAAATTATAACCTTTTGTTCTAACTAATGGATTGACTAGAATCAAGAAGCAACCAGATTTTTTTAGTCCTTGGCTGGCGGATATATGGATGGTATTCAATCACACATATGAACAAAACTAAATGATGTTGATGATGATATAACCACTAATTTAATAAATCACATCATTCTGAGAGTTGTGTTCTGTAAGAATTCATTTGGGTATCATCAAAGTCATTTTCTCAAAGAAAATTCTTGTTTTAGTTGGTTGACTAAGCCGTAAGATAACATTATTAACTAGTGTTACTTGACCGGCAATTTGTATTCCATAAATTAGAAATTGACACATAAAAATATAGCTGTCATCTCACGATCATGCAGCCCCCAAACTCTTAATTTCAAGAAAATAACAATACTAAATACAGCCTTTCCATAATTGTTTTTTGGGGGGGGGGGGGGTGTGGATCAAGAGTAGCTAATCCTAAATATACCATACGAAAGTTTTCCAAGGCCTTTGAATTTTTTTTCCTTTTTTTTTTTTTAAAAAAAATTCTGATGGAATTAGGCTTTTGAATTGGATACTTTTTTGTTTTCGCCTACATGATAAACGGTTTATTCATTGACTTCTAGGTTGTGTAGCCTTGCTCATCAGTTTGTGTTCCTCTTTTCCTTTCTACATTCCTTTTTGGTGAAGGTTTTAGCTGAAACAGGCTGAGTTCGATTGCGTTATATTTCATTAGTTTGGCATGCATGGCTAGCTGTAAGTGAGCTTTACTTTTTTGGACTTCAATTAATTAAAGGTTGAAATTTCTTTCTCGTTAAATACATGAAATCAAATGTGAAAGTTATTTGGCAAATTTTTTGGTAAAATAATTTAATTCCGGTGGATACAATAGACTTTTTTTGTTTTTTGGCTATCAATATCTAAATATCAGACTAGTCCTTAATAAACTAAATTCTCTAATTTTAACATGAATTGTTTATTTTAACTGGATTGAAGAGATAGTTTAGTGTTAATAAAAAAAAAAAAAAAAAGACAAAGCACCATACTACCAGGCCATTAAAAGAAATAATAATTACAAATCTATGCTCTTTTGTCAAGAATGTTGTCACAAATTTGTATTTCGTGATTTAGGGAAAATTACCACAAAAAAAAAAAAGACACACACACTCTATTGAAGTATCATGAAATTATAATGATTATCAAATATTTAAAGATATTACAAAAATCTTTTTCAAGTTTAAATGAATATTATAAAAACCTTCTTTTGCATTCAAAATACCCTTAATATTCTTAAATCATTATTCACTAGACATAAGAACATTTTAAATATATATAAAATAAGATTTTTATAATATTTTTAAATTTTTAAATATTCATTATAATTAAATTACATGATACTTGGGGAAAATTATTGTAAGTTTACCTTATAATTAATATGAAAGCATTAAATTAAAACGTACGCTAAATTTACTAATCAAATTGTTATTCTAATCTTTTTTTTTAAAAAAAAAAACAATTACTAATGCATTATTTACTACACCCTTCAACAATTACCAATAACTATTATATAACAAATATTAATGAAGAATTTATTAATAATTTTTTAAAAATAATGAGAATAGCAATTTAATTGTTGAATTTAACAATATCCTAAATTAAATCCTTCCAACATCACTCGAGATCCTGCATGCAGTCAGTGGTTTCTTCTTCAATCCTTATTTTCCTTGTAAATTTCATTAATCCATCATTTTCTTTGTTTGTCCTTATAATTTTTTTTTCTATAATATAATCTTATATTTGTACCAAAATCGTCTTCTTGTTGTCTTGACGGCAAAAAAGAGCAAGTTGGAACTTCAAATACATTATTTGTTGAAATAGGGAATTAATTAATTAATTAATTAGCCGCAGTATTTTTTAAACAACTGCATCTCCAAAGGCACAATTGGTTTTTTTATTTATTTATTATTATTGCAATAAAATGACTAAACTAATCCTAACAACTTAATTAGGAAACTCGAAACCCTCTACTTGTTTTTTTTCCCTATCGAAATCAAATTTACTGTGTATCTCAATTAGCAAGTCTTGTTAATGCATTTCAATAAAATAATTAAAATTAAAATCAGTTCAGATTGAAATAAATATTTTTTAATCCTTAAAAAAAAGAGCAATTGGATACCCCGTCACGTAGTATGCATATGCATGTCAGATGCAATAGTTATACGGCATTTTGCATGCATTCAAAAAGACTTGGGAATTGGGATCTCATCTAACCCCTGCATAAAAAAATTCCAAACCACCCTGGAACGTAGCTTTGCCATCATAGCCAGTGATGAAAGTAGAGGGAGAGACGACAAGGGAGTTATTATTATTTTTTTTTCCTTCGCAAGTTGGAATATTAAGAACACCAAATGACCTCAATTTTGGTGGGAATAGGGAAACATAATTTTTTGTTTTGTTAGGATTAAAGAAATATATATATATATATATATATATTTGTTAAGGTTATTTCCATCACTTAAAAATTTTAATAAGGATATTAGTTGATTTTTAATTCATTATAGATTTTTTCCATTTTTACCTAAAAACTTAGTAAATGCAATCAGATCGTCCTTAGCTTTTGCTTTATAAATTATATTAAAATAAATATATTTATATGTCCTTATATAATACTCAAAATTTTCTATTTATTCTCAAATTTTCAATTGCATCTTATATTTTTTAAAAAAAATATTTAAAATGTTCAATTTGTTATTCCGATCATATATATATATATATATATATAACCAAATGTCCTTAATTGAAATAAAAAATAAAATAAATTTTAATGATTTCAAAAATAAAAAATATAAATAGTTTGACTTTAAGTTTTTTTTTTTTTGGTTTTTATGGAAAAAATATATGATAAAAAAATTTATCAAAATAATAAATTGAATATTTTAAAAAAATTTTAAAAACAAGCAGAATGCAATTAAGAATCTAATATATATATATAACCAAATGTCCTTAATTGAAATAAAAAATAAAATAAAATTTTAGTGATTTCAAAAATAAAAAAATACAAAAGTGTGACTTTAAGTTTTTTTTTTGGTTTTTTTTTTTATGGAAAAAAATTATATGATAAAAAAATTTATCAAAATAATAAAGTGAATATTTTAAATAAATTTTAAAAACAAGAAGAATGCAATTAAGAATCTAATATATATATGTCAGTTGAAATTTTCCAGGTGCTACTTGATTAGCTGTGTTAGCTTTTCAAGATCGGGCTACAGCAGTGCATTTTTATTTGAATGGATGAGCCGCCTGCCAAGTCCTCTTTGGCTGTGTATTTTGTGTTTTGTTTAATTGAGCTGACGTGGAAGTAGCGAGCTTCTTACTCTTCCTTTCTAGCTTCAAGGTCAAATTGTTTATTATTATTATTAAGCCAACTTAATCAACTTAAATTTCTAGAAATGCAAAATTACAACACGTTATTATTGCTATTTCAATTTGAGTGGTAAACCTTTTTTTTTTTTAAATGGTTCTCATCTTCTTCGAATTAATTTCTTTAAATAATTGTTAAATCATCTTCATTCGTCAATGGAATCTGTGTCCATTATGACTATCTCTCCACACGCCTTGGAAAGACGCGTGGTGGTACATGGGGTAAGAAAACAGTATGGATTGATATACTATTTGGTCCTTCTGCTCTTAATATTTTTAATATGACCCTTTTCCCTTTTTTTAATCAGTTCTTCTATTCAAGAAAATTTATTGATGTCATCCCTCCATCCAATTATCATCCAATTTACTATTAATTCTTGACACATGGCCTGACATGTACTAGACACGTGTCCAATTTTTCCGATATGTTGTCAGTAATTAATAGAAAGCTGGATGGAAGTCAGACAAAAGGACCACGTTAGAATTTTTCTTAACTAAAAGGACCAAATAAATAATAAAAAAGTAGAGGGGTCACGTAAAAAAATGTCAAGGATCAACTGAAAAAACAGTAATTACAGTTAGCAGAGTGCAAAGCTGGAGAAAGAAGCCAAGTTAGAATCCAATCCCATTCCCACTAGATAGAGATGGCCAAAGCCAACCAAAGAAAGAAAGGCCAGCTCTTTGTTTTGCTCTTTACACGCTATTTGAATTTGACTGCCAAAAAATACTGTATACTTCAATATTTTCAAAAGCTAAATATTATAGCCACCCTTTTGGACACCTTCTTTCCTCCTTTGCTGTGCTTCCTCTCTCTCTCTCTCTCTCTCTCTCTCTCTCTCTAGCATGCATTTTCCTCACTAAATCAATTAATATCACACAAATAACACATCCCTAGAAGCATCCATCCGTTAACGTTAACTACAAAAACCTCCTCTGTCTTTGTGTTTGGTTCCTCTCTTTTTCAATTTTGAACCAACAGAAATACCCCAGAAACAACCTTCGCGGCGTAACAAATAAGGCAACTTGCCAACCAACTGGTTCTCTCTCTACAAATACTTGCACTGCCCTTTTTTCTCTGTTCACAGCTGGGTTTTATAGTTCAACACTTTCACAACCCAAACCCCTCTCTCTTTCTCAAAAAGGAAGAACCTTTGGAGTAAAAGACAGTAAAGAGAACTCAAAATTTCCTTTTTTATTCTTTCCTTGTAGTATAGCACTGGGGTTTGCTTGTAAACTTTGTTAACTCAAAAAAATTATTCCTTTGTATCTTTCTTCTTGTTTTAGTCGTTGGATTTCTGATAAAGCCAAAAAAGATAGAAGCTTTACATTGAGAGTAGTTGGCAATGGTGCAGTACTATAGGTATCATCAGTTAAAGAAAGGTGACCATCAACATGTAGAAGAAGATGAGATGCTATCCTTGATGTGTGCACCAAACTCTGGTTATTTCAAGAGAACAAGGCCTAAGCTTTTTACTCTGCTCCTCCTCTCTCTTCTCTCTTGCTGTCTTATTTTAGCTCCTCACTTGTTTTGCTCTTCCTCTGCCCTTTCTCTTTTGTGTAAGCTCTCTTTTCTCTCTTTCGTGGGTTTTGGCTATTTTCTATTCGCCTTCACTTTTTTTTTCTTCTTTTGGGTACGTGTTGATGTATGTCTGTGGTTTATGCAGATTCTTTTGGTGTAGAAAGTGACGGGGTTGCTGCAAATGTAAATGCAAAAGCTTATTTGTGCTCTTCGATTTCTAATGGTTAGTACTTCGTTTGCACTTGTTTTGCTGTTCTATTCTTTCTTTCTTTCTTTTGGCTGGATTTAAACAAGATTAGGTATTAACAGACTGGAAGTTTGTTGCTTTCTGATTTAAAGTTTCCTTAGGCACATGGATGCGTTTAGGCCACTTGGATACGTAACCAAGAAAAGTTAGGGAAAAAAAGATGAAACTGATTTTTTTTTCGGAGTTTTAGTTATTAGCTCAATGAAGTTGCGTGAATGATCTAGTTTCTGGAAACCAGAAAGTAGACGCAAAGTTACTGGATTAAAGTTTTTTCCTTAGCTTGTTTCCATTTTTTGAGTTTAATAAAATGTTAGACTCATGTAGTAAAATGAATTTTGATTTACTGTTAATGTCCCCAAATTTTGACACAATGTTTTGGTGGTAAATTCAGGAACCATATGTTGCGACAGAAGTAGTATTCGTACAGATGTCTGTGTTATGAAAGGGGACGTAAGAACACACTCTGCCTCTTCTTCAATCTTCTTATACACCTCAAGATATACCAATGCTGTGATTGAAAATGTTTCGAGTTTTGTTGATAAAGAAGAGGAACTCCAACGCGAAAAGGTCAAACCATACACCCGGAAATGGGAAACGAGTGTGATGGACACAATTGATGAATTAGATCTTGTTGTGAAGACAGAGAATTTTAGGAATAACCATCATTGTGATGTCAAGCATGATGTACCGGCAGTGTTCTTTTCGACTGGAGGCTACACTGGCAATGTTTATCATGAATTCAATGATGGGATTTTGCCATTGTTCATTACATCGCAGCATTTCAAGAAGAAGGTTGTGTTTGTTATTCTTGAGTATCATGATTGGTGGATTATGAAGTATGGAGACATTCTTTCACGTCTTTCAGATTATCCTGCCATTGATTTTAGAAGAGACAAGAGAACCCATTGCTTTCCTGAAGCCATTATTGGTCTTAGAATCCACGATGAGCTCTCAGTGGACCCTTCACTGATGCAAGGGAATAAAAGCATTGTTGATTTTCGCAATGTTCTGGACCGAGCTTACTGGCCTCGAATTAAAAGTTTGATCAAAGAAGAAGAAAGAGGAGCTCAAGAAAAACTAAAACAGAAAGCACATTCATCATCCTCATCACCAGGAACTTCATTGGACATCAGAAAGGAAATGCATGACGCAACCTTTAAGAGACCGAAGCTGGTCATTTTATCTCGAAATGGGTCTAGAGCTATAACTAATGAGGATTTATTAGTGAAGATGGCTGAAGAAATTGGATTTAGAGTTGAAATGGTGAGGCCTCAAAGAACAACAGAACTAGCCAGGATTTATGCAGCACTTAATTCAAGTGAAGTTATGATGGGTGTCCATGGTGCTGCCATGACTCATTTTCTGTTTATGAAGCCTGGCTCTGTTTTTATCCAAGTTATACCTCTAGGAACAGAATGGGCAGCTGACGCTTATTATGGGGAGCCTGCAAGGAAGCTGGGTTTAAAGTATATTGGCTACCAAATTCTTCCTAGAGAGAGTTCGTTGTATGACAAATACGATAGGAATGATCCTGTTCTTCAAAATCCCAGTAGTGTGTCTGATAAGGGATGGCAATACACAAAGTCCATCTATCTTGATAGCCAAAATGTGAGGCTAAACCTTGGAAGATTTCAAAAGAGGTTACTTCGTGCTTACAGGTACTCAATCGCAAAAATGAATCACAGATCTCATCTCCAATCACAGTGATAGTGATGTTCAGTGCTTGCATGAAGTTGGATAAATGGTTCTTTCTGTTTTTTACCCCTTGTACCTCATTGATTCATTCGTCTTTGTACATTAGAAATCCCAAAAGGGCAACTAGGCGTAAATGTTTGTATAGACTATAGAGTCCTTGCACATGTCCTCAGTACATTTAACACCAAATAATAATAAGCTTCTTATGTGTAAATCACACAAATGTTCTGAAGTATTTTAGATATTCCCCTTCCCTTAAATTCCAGTCTCTCTAAATTGGTTTTCTCAGCTTCTACTGCTTCATGTTTTTTTTTCCTTTTCCAGTCCTATCAAGACACGAAGCTTAGTTTTGACGTCTGCTGTGTTTGAGTATACATTCTTTCGGAGCAATATAGGCTAAAAAATAAATAAAATCCAAGTTTCGAATATAATAAGATGCCGTATGGTGAAGAGTATTGCAATGGACGAGGGTGTAGTCAATTTTCCAGAAAACTCGAGGCCTCCCCTGTATTTACTGATTTACTCAATGATAACATGTGATCACATGATGAGCATAAGGTGCTCAATTATTGCGCCTCTCTTATCTCACAAAGAACAACATCCACGTTCAATAAGGGCTGCAGCAGCTACTACAAGTATCTACCATTCAGCACTTGACTCTGATAGATGCCAATCAAATAGCTTGTTTTGACTTCTGGAGAAAGAGAAGCAGCATGCCTAATGCAGCCTAATTCTGGAAAGGGAGCCCCCTCTTAAAAAATTTCAACCACTTACTGGAATCACATAATAAAATGTGAAAAAGGAAAAATGAGAAAAAAAGTGTAGTTTTGAGGGGGAAAAAAAGGGCCTTGAGATCAAAGTAATTCAATTATGAATCAGGCAACAATTCGTTTCCTCTGACAAATTTGTTTCCTATGTACATAATATCCTGACACAATCAATCTATTAGCAAAACTCTTATTGACAGGTCAGCGCGTCTCCCTCCTAACTCATTGCTGTGCTTCGAGCCAAAGCATCGTTGCTGTCATTACAGAATGAACCATCAGTGTCAATCGTTGCCTTCAATCAGATGTGTTGACCTAAAGCCATCGTTTTGTCAACTTTGTCGAAGAATGGACTGGAGGGGGCGTCCTGGCGTTCCTTCTAGAGTCATCTGCATGAACAAAATGGAACATTACATGAAACGAGATCCTTCTCTTATTATACATGATGCATTATTATTATTATTATTATTATTTTGGATACTTGCAGTGAAGTTGAGCAAATGATGCTCGAGCAGGTTATACTTGCCAGATTCAATAGGCTTTCCTCCAAGAGAAGATCTGCGTGTCGTTGATGTTTGAACTCCTGTAAGTGATTGCCTTCTGAGCGTCCTGGCATTGGCTGTAAGTGGTGACTTGAGATCAGTGTCGTTGCATATGCCATTGATAGGTGAGAGTTCTTCCTTAGAAATCTGTTGATTCCTGTAATTTGAGACAACATATTACTGTAAAGAAATTTCACTTCTACATTTCAGTGGATAATAATTTCATATTTGACGAGATGAACCGATGATTGAATAAAACAAACTAACATTACCTTCCTAACTCTAGTATCAACCAATCTTATTAATTACTATATAGAAAAAATGAAGCAAGTTTCACAAATGTGTTGCACACACACCTCTTCTCAGAGCCGTTAATCAGTTTTCCAATTGTACGAAGGGATTTCCTTATTTGAGATCCTTTTCCGTGTGTGCTTCCTTGTGTGCTGCGAACAAGATTGGCTGCTCGACAATCTGTAGAAACACTAAGTTCGCTCTGCATCAGAATCTTAACCTCATTCCTGGAGATTACTTGTGATTCAGGTGTCACTGGTAGCTGAAAAGTTGGAATTTGCGTCCTACTCTCTGTTTTGACCATTCTTTTTTGATACAAACTGGTAGGACTTCGAGTAGTATTGAGGCGAGAAACTTCCTTGGCGGAACTGCCATTAGCAGAATGCCCAAATGGTTTTGACACAGCCTCTGCATCTTGAAAGGGACCGTGTTTCTGCAGTGTTACTGTGTCAAAACATAGGGGCCTGCTTACATCATCTTCTCCTTTTGTCTGGAAATGTTCTTTCATACCATACCTTGGTCCTTCCAAGCTTAATCTTCGGGAACGAGTTGGTGCAGAAGGGGTTTTTGATGCCTTTCTGTCTTCAGTATTCGTGACTTTCTCAGACTTCATGTTGCTGCGATTCTCAATACTCAGCCTCCGTGCACGTGGAGGAGTTCGATCAGGCATCACTTTTGGTATCCCCCGTGGAGATCTTAGGTCCTTCATTTTATTCTGTGTTTCCTTACTGGCCAATGCTTTCTTGAGGTTCTCAACCTGAATGAAAGTTGTCGTAAGTGTTGAAACTGTTATGCAATCTAATATCCTTCAGAAGAATTTACCTCTATTTGATTTGATAACAAAAGAGCATAGAAAAAAAACATGATCAATAATAGCCCTCAAAGTGTGCAATTTCAGTTCGTAAGAATAAATAACAAAAGTAAACTATGATAGCCTTGATTGAAAAATAAGAAGAAGAATAAGAAAACAAAACAGCACCGATAAAGTGTGGAAAGGAACAAGCCATGACACAGGCGAATTACTGTCCCACATTTACAGGACTTGTAACGGGGAAGATTGGACAGAATCCAGATTCCGAATTCCATATAAATAAAATTCAGATTTACCTGGTCCTTGACTTGCATAATCTCACTAACAGGGAAGGTTGGACAGAATCCAGATAAATAAAATTAGGATTTACCTGGTCCTTGAGTTGCATAATCTCACTGCTCTCTTTGTTTGCACGGGCAGCACCAAGTTCAACAGTTGATACCCTCTGAGCAAACTTTAAAGTACTGATGGTCTCGCCAAAAGAATCTCCTTCTGGACTTACATGGGCAAACATTAATGTTTTTGCGTGTCCACCTGAAGTAAAAAATGCCAAGAAAAAAGTCAGTTATATGCTAGGAATCAATACCAAATCAGATAAAATAATATAGAGAAGCTGGAATTTTTTAGAAACAAGTTCATTTGTCTTATTTGCACATCACAACCTAAGGAATCTTGTAGTAGAAGTGTGAGTTTGCTGTTTCTGTAAGGGATATGAGAATTCTTTTGAGCCAAAGCTGTGATTACATCTCCTAGACAGGAGAGAGACTTATTAATGTACTGTGCCTCTTTGAGCCTGTCTCCTGTAACTTCTGATTTATCCACTCTCTCACTTCCTGCAAGGTCTACCAAATGCAGGCAACTGTGAAGGGTGCTTCCAGATACATCTTTCCCGTGTATATGAACCGTCAGGACACTGCAGCAACATGTTAAACCACCCTTCAATAAAACGAAATAAATAATTGCATATTTTCTAATTTCATCCTATATGTTTAAGAACGTATAAGCAAAGGTGAATTCTAACTTTTCCCTTAAAACTAGTCTGTACAAATTCAACTCCAGAAAACTGACCTATGGGAACGACTGCTTCGGTTATTGATAGCAGTGGAACTGACAACACGGTTCAGTTCACCGAGTTTCATCAGATTAAGAACGTCGGCAGTGGACTTAACGGAAAGCATTTTAGCATCCGGAAGGCTCAAGCCATTGTCACCAGTACAACTCCGAATCTCTAATTTGTGCACAGTTAAGAATACAAAGATTGTTACATATGCATGGTTACTATGAGACAGTAGAGGAGCAACCTCGACTCACCTACTACAAATGCTTATTTTGTACTGTTGTATGTTTTTCTAATACAAAAAGAAATGACAAAAAGGATATTTGGTAGCTGTTGAATCTTCTGCAAGAAGGTCTCGTACTTGATCATTGTAAATTTCAACCATTTGAACTTGAATGCTGTAATTTATAATATCCTTCCTTTCATTAGTCATCTCAAAGAGATCACTCAAAGCTAGATAATTAATCCCCATATCCTTAGTTGACCCGCCTGATGGACCACTCTGTTACCACAAAATATATATATACACATATATCAGCTGGGAGAATACTGATTATTGGACAGAAAGGGAAACTTCCCTCATATTGTGCAGATGGCTAATGTCTAAGCAGAAGCCAACTAAGATTAAAAAAAAAATAAAAAATAAAAACTTACCATGGTGTATGTTTTTCCAGATCCAGTTTGACCATAAGCGAAAATGCATACATTATAACCATCCATCACAGACCTGATTAGTGGTTGGGTGTCCATAAATACCTCTTCTGGAAATCAAGAGGCAATACGCAAAATCATCAGATTTAGTACACAAGCTGCAAAGTAAAAAGGTTATTGCTAGATGTTATTAGTACCTTGAGTGGCAGTAGGCCCAAACACCCGGTTAAACTGAAAAACTTTCTTTCCATCCATTTGGGGCTTTTGTGGATCCAATATCACTAGTGAACCGTCCTCTCCAACATAATCAATAACATAGCTTGCTCTATCACTGAAAGCAGGCCTAATTCTGCAGTAAACTCGGATATTTCCTGTGGAAATTAGTGATGGGAACATATTAGTATATTTCCTGTGGCTCATATTGAAAATTTAACACTTTAAAGAACGTATTAGGGAAATAAGAGTATTTCATGTTTTTTAACAGTAAGCTAACCTTTCAAGTCCTGAACCATATTGTATAAGTTTCTGTTCTCTTTCAATACCCTATGGTATCCAAGAGCTGCAGTAGACATTTCTTGTACTTGAATTCCTGATCCCATTGCAAAACACAAGAACAATTTAGCTTGCAAAAATCTTTGTACAAATGTGAATGGTATTGATGTGTCTAGACACTGATATTTACAAAAAAATTGATATCTGACATCTAATTTATGAGATTGCCAACAAATGGAGCTCTTTAGAATATCTCGTGGGATATGCTTGCAAAATAGCTTTTTAAAGTATCTCAAAAACGGTTGCCAGTGGGAAGGAAAACCTAGCCATTATCTTACAGAGCTTCCAAGATATCGTAAGTAATAATGGAGGTAATTCTGAAGAATAAAAATCAAAGAAAAGACAAATAGCATTACTCGTGGGGATCAAGATATAATTATACACATGCCGAAAGAGATGGTGACACTGTTAAAGTTAAAACGCTGGTTATTCTCGGACAATAAGTTACTTGTAGAAGAAACATACCGAGCTCTCTCAAATCTGTCTGTAATTGTGACTGTAAGACCTCGAACTCCCTTTTTGTTGACGTCAACAAGGCCTTTATATCCTGCAAAAAAATGAACACAACACCAAAAGAATTCAGAACTAGTCTAATCCACATAAAGTTTAAACAAAATTGTCAGCCTGATAAATAAAACAGAGCCCATTTTATTTCCTATCAATCCTAATCAAACAAACTTGCCAGCCAAAACTTTTCTTAAATATTTTTATGTTACTCAAGTAATAGCCTTTTCCATGTCAAAAGTCAAACTTGACAAAGCTTGAGCATGCGCACATCTTCCTATTTCTAAGTTCATGCAAAGACAACTGGCACGAGAAGAACGATGCAAATATTTGTAAAAGTAGTCTAAAATGACACAATTACTGCTGGACTGTAGCCTTTCAATCCACTGAGAGTAGAGGAGTATGAACAAATAGGTACTAACCAGAAGTTCTTTTTCTTGTGTTTGAATTAATTGTCTGTGGTTGCAGTTGCCCTTTCTTAAGCAAGCTTGACAACACTGTAAAACATGAGTCACAGGCACATTAGGATATTTCTTCGGAGACTAATGGCTCAACATCCAAAAAGAATATTTATTAAATCACGAACGAAGAAAAGAGAAGCCATTTCAGCAAGGTAAGGTAAGTGCAAATCCAATTAGAATGTTCTAAATTCTATGAACATATTATACCTGTCCGTAAAGAAGTACGAAAACAAATCAAATATTTTAAATCAGTGTGCACTAATTATAGAGCAGTATCACTTGTTACCAAAGAGAAAACATGATAAATGGGCATCAATACCAGCACGAAATTTTTTCTTCAGAATTGTATTGTGTATGGTGCAGCAACAATGACATATTTAAAATCTTCAAATTGTATATTTGGCCAGAGGAAAAAGAGAAAAAAGAAATTAGAGAAGTTGACAGAACTTTAACACAATCACAGTTTTCTTCTTTATCGACTACATTAGTAATAAACTATAAAAAAACTCACCTTAGAATCTCCCGGTTCAGATGAATCCTCTCTAGGCTTTATTGATGAATGAGCAGGTGAGCTAACACTTTCTTTTAGAACACCTTTAGATGTTGATTTCAACTGTTTGGACCAGAAGATGTAGAACATGTTCTCAACAACTTCATATATGAAAACACAGTTTCGAAAAGGAAGAAAAAATTCCGCAGGAAACATCCAAATGCTACTATCTTGTAACCAAATTGCAATAAAAAAAAAAAAAAATTCATTTGAACATGCAATTTAAAATGGTGGTGAGATTATGTTTATATCTTTATAACTAGGTAAAAGAATCGAATCATTTTGTGGGGGGTGGGGTTAAATCTAGGTATTTCCAAGGATTTGCACATTTTGAGCTAGACTAAGCATTATTATCACGTAAGTCGAATCAAGCGTGCTTGTTTACTGAGAAATCCTTTTCCATGAAGTGAACAACCAGATGTTATTGATTTAAATAAACTAACCTCTGGGAACTTGTTTTGAAGCTTATCCCCTAAACAGCTTAACAGGATATCGCCGAACAACTTCATTGGATCCTGTAGCATTAAAAAAACATTGATAAGAACAATATGCCTAATATATACACTCTGACTATTGATGTTTACTTTTAAATTTATCTTTTGAATCACAGTGAATACAATACGTCATTCAGATGAGCATTACCGTGTTGTTGCAGTTACGGAGGGACATGAGAAAGTTGTTGTCCATGTTTTCCTTGGTATCAGCCATATGCTCGGCAAGTTTCTTGGCAATTAAATCTACAAATCCAATGCATCACATGAAAAGGGGGAAGGTTTTAAACCAAGAAAAAGAAAAACCACAGTACTTTCTATGATAAACAGTTTCTGCGTAGCAGGTATTTCGCATTCAAGTGATCGCGCCATACTGTAATATACCACCATAAGATGCATTGCTTCACTGATTACAGCTTCTGAAAAACTTCAAATGCATCTCCAGAGATGCCCGTCGACTTGTTCAGGGATAGAGAGAGCAAATACCTTCAATTTTCTTCAATTCTGAATCAGTTGGTAGCTCTTTTTCACAGGCCGCAGACATGTCCAAACGCCTACAAGAGTCTGATGAGATGGGTTGAGAATTGTTCCTGCTAGCAGAATGACCAACCATGGGAGATCTAGTGGGCTTATATAATCCATTAGGGTTCATCTGCTTGTACTCATTGTATGATTTAAGCGCTAAGATGCAATCAACCACGTTGGTCCCTGACCCTGCCTCCAGAGAATCCTTTCAACATTAAAGCAAAAAACTGCTTCAGTCAAATGTTGGTGCTGACATTCATAAATAAATACATTTGCATATGTTTACACAATCAGGCATATAAATAAAGCCAATTTACCCTCTCAAGATCAGAAGCTTCAAAGGCAGGTAGCCTCAACTCTTCAACAGCCACCAGAAAATTCTTTACATTCTCAAAATACTGATAGGCTGGTAATGGCTGGGATTCTCGGGTTAACGGTTGTAAAGGTGCATGAATCTCCACAACCTAGATATAATTTCCAAAGTAAACAATTAAACACTGAATCACTAAAATCTAGACTACCCCAGTAGTCAAAGAAAGATAAAAGGCGTTGCTTAAGAGGCTAATTTCTCATTTGATTGGGACTGATACTCAATTTTTTAGTAAAAAAAAATGAATTAGCAGTGTAAGTACCTTAGGCACTGCTCCTGGATGAACTTTATTAATAGCATTGCAAAGAACCAAACCATTTCTCAAGCGAGAAATGAACTCTTTCTCTGATGGATTTCTTGATATGCCTATTGGACCCACAAGATTTTCAAGCCATGAAGCAGCTTCATATCTTCTCCATGCTGCAAACAAAATCAACGAAGTTGTACAGATTACCAAATGTTAAAGATTTGATTTTTGCTATGATCGTAATTAGTTTCTAGTCTTAAAATAAATAAATAAACAAATAAAACCATTAAAATGTTGTGTTTTCTCATAAACCAAACAAAAGGGTAAAGCAGAAACAAGAAAGAGATGTTAAAGAATAATCAAACCTGCTTCTTCAGCTTTTCTTGAAGCCAATATATCATATAATTCAGTTCTTGAAGAATCCTCCATTAACACCAACAAAAAAAAAAAACCCTTCTTGTTCCTTAAAGAAAACAATCAAAACAAACCCCGTTAATTAAAAAAAAAACAAAAAACAAAAAAACAAAACCACACATTAAACAAAAGAAACACATTTTACATTCATCTCCAAAACAGCAAAAAATCACACAGTAACCAATGAAACAGACATTGAGGATTCAAAAATGAACCTACTTGTTTCCCTTTTGGGGGTATCTTTCACTGCTTAAAAAACCCTGAAAGAATCCAAGAAGTGAAGAGGGAGAAATTTGGAGAGAGAAACGATCAGAGAATGCTATCAAAGTTTGGTTCTTTCTCTGTTGGAAATGAGAAATTAAGCAAAATTTTGCTTCTTTTCGTTAATAGTTTGGTTTGGAGTTAGGTTCGGATCCGAATCTAGGGCTTTGAAATCGTAACGTTAACTGGTGGTTCTTTTGAATTCAAATCTGTAGAGGGAACAACGTGTAGGAATCATGACCGACGATTTTGTGAAATCAAATCTAACGGTTCGTATTGATATATCAATGGCTCCAAGACTATATTGTGGAGAGTGGAGTACACGCTTAATTGGATATAGGAGCGTATTGTATAAACGCTTTGCATGGCCGTGAGATTAAGTGGGTAATTAGCTGTTTTCACTTTTGTAGCAAAAGCATAGGGATTTGCTATTTTATGTAAAAGTAAATTGGAGATGTGGTGCATAATGATGTGATTTGTTTCCTAATTTGCATTATTATTTGATGGATTTCTGTGTTTTAAATTTCAGAATCAATTTTCTATTATTAGAAATTAATTCAAATTTTAATTCAAAGCTTTGTAACTATATGTCACAAATCCAAAAGTTGAGAATATTATGGAGAGATATTAGAAATTATTTTGTTTAAATTATCATGGAGTAAATCAATATAATTTTTAAACATTACTAAATTTGTTTAAATTATCTTGTGATGAATTTGTTCAAATCATTTTGTAATGAATGTGTGATTAAAAATGAAAATATTAGCATTTCTAAATATGATATACTGAAAAAATTATTTAAAAAAATTTAATTATTTATACTACGGTGGATTTGGTACATAATCTTATATATATAGTTTTTAAGAGATTGCAAGTTTAATTTCTCTAAATTAGGAATATTAAATTTGTTTACACCCAGTGCAAGAGGAAGTTAAAATTTCATTTCATCCTTCCACTTATGGTAAAATTAACCCCTTATGAGTAGATATTAAGTTTTTCTCCTCCTACTAACACTAATTAAGTTAAAATTAATCACTAATTAATGCATCAAGTTAATTTGAGGATGCATTTTTTAAATTGTTTAGAAAAAAAATTTAGTTTTTTTGACACATAAATTAATCCAAATATATTTGATTTTGTTGTGTATTTAATCTATGACAATTACTTGACCTAGGCTCATTTTGCAACTGATGCTAGGAAGTCTAGTGACCATATATTTGTTTTCAATAGAAAGAAGAAACACTTATTTTGCATTTACAAATATATATTTAAAATATATTTAGAGGTAGATTCTTGTGCCCCTAAAAGCAATTTTTTTAAAAAAAAAATACTAAGTGACAAAATTTTTTGCTTATAAGATTTTAAAAATAAATGCAAAACATTGTTTTTCCATCCAATATTATCAGAGAGACGATACTTGTATACGTAAATTTGCACCAAATTTTAATCTAGTTTTTATTTATTTAAAAAACTTCTACAAAGTATTTTAAAGGCATTTCTTATCTCTAAAATTATTTTGTTTTTTCGCTATCCGATATTTAGGAAACTTTCAGAAATTACAATTGTTTTTTATTTATTGTTATTTTGGAGATAAGAGTTAATTGAGGTTTTGGAGTTGTCACATAATATCAAAGGAATTAAAAAACCTAAAAAAAAAAAAAACACTCTATTCGGATATTATACTTAAGGAGTTGATTATGTTTTTGAGAATATTTCAATTAACCAAAAGCACATTTTTCAAAAAAAGATACCATATTTAGTTTAATCATAAAATATATTTCCTAAAAAACTTATTTTTGCTAAATTATTTTCAAGTTTATTTCTAAGTTTGTCCATTGTCTAAACCAAATTATTTTATTATTTTTTATCGTAGCATCTTATTGAATTATCATCGATTCCAACATTAGAAGTCTCGTTAATTCAATATTAGATTCAATTAAATTCTTGACTTAACCGATATATATATATATATATATATATTAAGGGTGATTAATTTGTATTAATGTCGAGAATAACTTTTGTCTCTATTGAATAGGAGACTCGTTAAATTAACTTAAAAACTTTGTTTTCTTTGACTTTATTTTTTTGTTTTTTTTTATTTTATCAATTATATTTTTTTATTTTTTAGCATTATGAATTTGACGAAGAGTCGTCATTAGTCCCTTGAATCTAAGAGACTCGACGATCCACAATCACATTAATTACCTAATAACTAAGTTATAATAAAATTGTAAGTATTAAATTACAAATCATAAAACTATGACTAATACTGAATAAATAAGAAATTAACTCACAAAATTAAGAAATTTGACACACAACTTATATACAAGTATATAATCACACCTTAAAAAATTAAGATTAAAATAAAATTAAACAGTAGGCTAAATTGAACTCTAAATAATTCAAGCAATTAACAACTAAGCATAAAATTAAATAAATTCAAAATAAATAGTAAATGAGCTTTACAAATTCTGAAATTTTAAACATAAGCTAAAGAAAATCATATGTAACATACATAAAAATTTCAGGCCAAAATGGGTAAGACAGCCTTATTAAAATGAATCCTAAGCAAAAAATGATTTAAAGACCCATTAGGCGCTCTGCCCAAGCCAGGCCCAAGTCCGGCTTAACCCTTCATAAACCCAACTTCATTTAGTCCAAGGGCCAGCCCAAGCCCAGCCTAAAAACTAACTAAGCCCAAGGCCGAAAGCCCTCTCTTTTTCTTTCTGGACCTCACTTAAACCCAGCCTAAGTCCAATCTTAACTAGCCCAACAAGCCTCCGAACCCCATTCCATTTCTTTTCTTTTCTACCCCCAACAATCTTTTCTTCTCTTTTCCCCAAACCAGATTTTCTTTCTTCTCTCTCATTTTCTTCCTCTTCTTCCTTATTCTTTCCTCTTAACACATACAAACCAGAACCCGAGCTTCAGAATAATAAAGCCATGAAGCTGCAGACTTAAACTTTTTGTATTGCTATCCAGTGGAGGCTTGGCAATAGCTTTAATTTAAAGAAATAATTAACTAAAAAAAAAAAGATCAAATGGACAGTGCCTGTGGAGGCTTGGCAGATGAAGGGAAATGGCTAGTGGCAGGGAGCATTGCTAACTCAAAATGCTTTAGAACCAAGAGTAACCTCCTTGAAATATAGAATGTTGTTTGCTGAAACCCAGAATCCTTTTCCTTCAAAACCCAAAAGATGCTCTTCAAACGGTTTAATGCCAAATTTTGCTTTCATTTTATTGTCATTTGGTAATTTTAAACCTATAATGAAAATTAGATAATTTAGATCATATTTATCCAATCTTCAATATTTTAGAATTCAAATCACGTAATTTGAATTCTAAAATATTGAAGATTGGATAAATATGATCTAAATTATCTAATTTTCATTATATGTAATGATCAACCTAATTGATTGTTACTTGAGATGCCAAAACGACATCGTCTTGGAATTTTATGGTTAATTATGTTTTTTTTAAAAAAAAATTATTTTAAAAATATTTTTAACCTCCTAATCTTGAACTTTTTTTTAAGAAAAAATTTCTTATAAATATTTTATAAATTATATTAAAAACAATTTATAAATATTTTTAACCCCCTAATTTTGAGCTTTTTAAACTTTTTTATAAAATATTATAAACATTTTACAAATTCTTTTCTATAATTTATAAAATTAGGAGAGTCAAACTTTAATTATGCTCATTTTAATTTATAAAATATTTTTTTAAAGACCTGAAACGGTGTATTGTTAATTATATTTACTTACAATAACATTTTATAAAAAAAAAAATTAAGGTTCAAAATTAAGGGGTTAAAAATATTTATAATATTTTATAAGAAAAAATGTTTTTTTTTAAAAAAAAAGTTCAAGATTAGGAGGTTAAAAATACTAAAAATGTTTTTTTAAAAAAACATAATTAACGACAGAATGTCAAAACGATATTGTTTTGGCATTTCAAATAACGATCAACCTAGTTAATCGTTACATGTAACAAAAATTAGACAATTTGAATCATATTTGCCCAATCTTCAATACGTTGGAATTCAAATTATGTAATTTGATACTATGGATAAAAAATTACCAAATCGCAATAAAATAAGGCAAAATTTGCCATTAAACCCTTTTCAAAACCATAATTGTTCCTCAAACCCAAAAATTATTCCTTTCAAAACCCAAGATTGTTTCCCTTAAACCCAGAATTGCTCTCAAACCCAGAAACCCTTCCTTTCAAACCTAGAATTCTTCCCCATTTTCAAAACCAGAATTGTCCTCTCATATTTTCTGAATGAGCTCTATTTATACTTAAATTTCAATCATCCTCAGCCCTAGGATCCTCCTCCAATTCATCTTAACCCTTCCCATTAAATCTAAAAACACAGATGCTCCTGCCATTTTTTGTTGTTTGTGCTTAACATATTTTCAAGACAAAAATCAACGGGGATGGACAGGGTATGAAATATGTGTGTGCAAGTATTTGGTGTAGGTTTTTTTATTTTATTTTTTTTTATGCAGATTGCAGGGATTTAAAGCACGATTTCTAACTAGCACGATTGCTTGTCAGGAATTGTTTGGCTGTGGATTTGTCTTATCTATAGAAGACGATGAACCATATTGGAGGAAGGATTGTGATTTTGAGTTGCAACAAAGAAAGCCTGTTCGAAATTTTTTTGAATTGATCCTATCGTTCGCTCCTCCTTTCAATCTTTGTCCTCATAAAATTTAATTTCTATGTAGTTATACCCTATGGACATG